CAGAATGGACAATTATGCATATTTCCATTCATTATCGAGATGTCTAGCGATCAATTCAGACCAGTCCTGTAGCTTTCCAAGACAATCCATGTAACGCATCAAACGGTAAAAGTTAGAAGTCTCGAGATCTCATCAACAGAGGCCTATGGTTTCGAACCACATCTGAAAGCAAAAACTCTAAAAGAAAGTGTTTGAATGACAACCTTGTGTTTTAAAAACTGATTTAGTATACCATGTATAATGATATTTTGCATTTGATTCATTATTTTGAAGCATCAGATTTTGACTAGAAAAATGGTAAAGAAAATCGTAGCTCGCCATTTGACTTTCTTAAAATTATTATTCAAAAAATGATGATCGATATTGTTAAAGCTTTCCTAATAATGTGAAAGACTAAGAAGTTGGACTTTATATTTGAAAATCTAAAGGGTTTTGTCGATTTTTTAACCACTCCTACCCACTTACAGACGATTGTTGATAACTACAGTTCAAAAGTTGTTTCATACTATTAATATCATTTTGTTGATTTTCAAGGACATTATGTACAACTAAACGGTTTTCATATAAGTCTATAGAGAAAAAGCAGACAGAAATGGCAAAATTAATGACAAAGAATACGTACAATCAATAAAATGTAATTGATCACTAATATTACTTCGAAAATATTTTCTGTTGGTTGTTGCGATTTGTTCTGGTAATGTTTGATGGACGTGAATAGGTGAATGTTTTGAACGCGTACTAATTGATGCAGATGGAGATGGAGACTGTATTTTTGAAGAATCTGAAACAAAAATATCAAACATTATCAACTTTTTCTTTTGGTATCAAAAGTCTCACCAAGAATCAGAGAAGAGGTAGATGTTGTTAGGTCAGGAATAGTTTTCATTGATGTTATCATTTTGTCTGTAAACAAAAACTATAAGGTTCTAACGGCGCAAGTACTTAATTATTCTTTTTCTCACTATCAGTTGATTTAGTAGTCACACGTGATGTAGGTGCATAATGATGGGCATTTTTATCAAATAATAAACTTGCTAATTTTTCAACTTCACTTATTGTTTGTGAGTGTTGTTTTGCAGAGAGTTGTTCATCTAATTTTTGTAAAAGAAATTCATTTTCATTAACATCAAGACCATATCGTGTAAAATGATTAACCTAAACGATACCCAACCATATGATACTCTATACAATATATATTCTAATGGAATAAAAAAAAATTAAATTTCTTATTACCGTAAATGTCCATGCTCCGTCATCAACTGCATAATCAACAAATTCTCCATCAAATTTTTTTGTGATTTCTTTAAGATAATCTTTATAATTTATTGCATTGATGCGCTTTGGATCAGTTATTTCAACTCTAGTTGACCGATCAATTGGATAAACGCCGAGTAATGTTATTCTTGCTAAAATATTTAATTCTTGTCCAATAGGTGGTTTGTCATTATCATTCGGATAGACTATGACTTCATGTCGTCCAATCTCAACTAAAAATGATCTCATAAATAAAGATCAGTCGTTTTTTGCGACAAATAGACCTACTTAATTGATCAAGATCAAGACCAGCAACATTTATGTTTCCATAGAACGTCACACATCCATAATTATCTCTTCCAACCGTAAATTCTTTAATAACACATTGCCCGTGATTATTGAAATATGTTTTTAAATCTTTTGATGTTGGTTTCATATAATAATCACTACGATTTAATTTTGGTAAACGATATTCACGCGAATTCTCTTTTAGAAATGTTGATGACATTTTTGTGGCGTCTATTTGTTTAGTAGGTAAGATTTGTTCATTTTCAAATATTTCTGATGATTTAATAATTTGATCATTATCTTCAGGTTGATAATGTGATGGCCTCAGTTGATGCTGAAGTTCTTTTGTAGGAGAAGACGATGAGTGGATTTTATTAAAAAGTGGTGTGGAATGTGCAATTGGTAACATTTTTGTTGTATCATCTAAAACTAACCGAGAAGTCATATAAGGACACTTAAAAATAAAGATCATAGTTCACCTGCTGTATCTGTCGTTAGTGGTTTAGGCATAAAATGCGATGTATTTAGTTTATTTACACCGTTACCAGATACTGTATCAACAGTTGATGACGATGATGAGATAAAATTCGACGCTGTCGTTGTTACGCCAAGAGGTAAACGATCAAACATTGTATTTTTATTACTGCTCTTATTTGACAACGTTTCTAATTCAATTAAACGTCTCGGAAGATAAGAATCCGGAGACGATGGTAATTGACTATTTGATGAATATAAATCATTGGAATATAAAAAATCATTGTTGGAAAAACGTAATTTTTTTAATTTACTACGTCCAATTAAAATCATTTCTTCTTCTTCTGAAAAATCATGTAATAATGGGCTATTGATTAGACCATTATTCGGCGATTTAAAATCGTCAACATTGTTCGATAATAATGGCAAAACAGGTGTCAATTTAAAACGTATATCAACAAGTGAACGAGGTACTGATTTTCGATAATTTTGATTAGTCGACAACAAAGACGACGACGTTGTTGTTATAGCTACCGTTGAACTGATGACCGCAGCTGATGATATTGTACTAGCGGACGTAACGATAATATCAAGCGGCGGTCTTATTTGATCAGCTGACTACAGAGAAAAATTGCTCTCAACTTTCAGATATAAAAGAAAAGAATTTGAAACATACTTTATAATCTTTTATTCCACGACTAGCATAAGGATCAAGTAAACTGACAGCTAAAAAACGTTGTTGAATCGCTAATGCTTGCTGATTTTGCTGTGCTGCTAACTGGTTGTTATTATTATTCACCATCATTTGTGACTGTTGTGAATTTGTTAGTGACGCTGCAAAATTAAATGTTGGAACTGTGGTAGTGTTCTGAAATGGTTGATTAAATATTGATGACTGCGATTGTACAGAATTAAATAACGATGGTTGCTGCGATTGTCCAAATATATTTGAAGCAAAAGGATTTGTAGTAGGATTACTACTTGGAAATGATAAACCGGTACTTGTACCAGATTGGTTTGCTGTCGGACCAAAATTAAATATAGTCGGAGCTGCCATCGATGAGCCAAATATTGAATTTGTTCCAGGTGCAGTAGATCCTACTGAACCAAAACCGGAAAAGACGGGAGCTGCAGTTGTCGTTCCAAAAGCATTTGGTGCTGAAGTACTTGATCCAAATGGTGAAGTGGTCGTGCCAAAAGCTGACGGAGCGTTCGATGTTGTTCCAAATATATTTGTCGTTGAGCCAAATGACGTGTTTGGTTGCGAAAAAATGGATGTACCGGTATTTGTTGGAAATGAAAATGATGGTGCACTACTAGTTAGCGTACCAAAACCAAAGGATGGCTGACTCGTCGTTAATTGTGACTTGAGATTGAAAGGCGATGCCATTGACGTGTTTGTAGTGTTACCAAATATATTTGTTGTGCCGCCACTTCCAAACATCGATGAATTCGATGCTAATGGAGCTCCGAATGTTGAAGAAGTGGGTATGCCAAACTGTGTATTGGTCGTTGTTGTTGCAGACGGTTGTCCAAAAATGTTTGTTGATGCTGTATTTGTACCAAACGAAAATGGTGTACTTGTTGTGACTGATAACAAGATAAAATAAGAAATATAGGACATTCTTTATAATTACAGCAGTTTGCAAAAAAAACAATTTTATTTTGTATCTTTCAGTCTCAAGATAATAATGCTAGACTTACCATTAGTAACTCCACCAAATATGGCTGACGTCGACGAGGTTGACGGATTTGTACCAAAAGGAGCTAAAGATGAGAAAAATGGCTTTAATAGAATAATTTTTTACTGCTTTCTTACTCATGCCGAATGGTGACGGATTAAATGTACTTGTGGCTGATCCACTCGTCGATAGTGTATTTACTGATCCAAACAATGACTGCTGTTGTGCAAATTTTCTGTTGACTTGATAATCTTCGTAGCGTAATTCATCCATTGATTTACTTAGATATTCTTTCATTGCTGTTATGCATTGTAATTTTGTATTAATTGTAGTCAATAAATTGTTTTTTCCACGCATTGTATCCGTACCAGAGAACGCTTCAAATTTAACTGTTGTACCGGTTTGTGGATTTGTTGACGTAGTCATCGTAGAACCAAAAATATTCAATGTTGGAGTTACCATCGCATTGCCAAACGCTGGTGCAGTACTCCCACCAAATAAGGCTGAAGGCTGTGAAGTTTGCTGAGTTGCATTTCCAAACAATTGTCCACTACTAAAGCCGGTTGATGTTGGTGCAACTGTGGAGGATGAGACTGGATTTAAGTTACCAAACGTTGATGTAGTACCAAATGGACGAACTGTCGAACTTGTGTTTAACGTATTGACAAATGGTTGACTGGCTGTTGATCCAGGACCAAAACTAAATGTGGGATTTAATGGAGCAACGGCGGTATTCGGATTTGATGCACCAAACAAAAAACCAGTGTTTGATTGAGTTGGCTGTGGTACGGCAGTGTATTGAGTTCCAAAAGCTAAGAAAAAATATTGACATTTAAAGAATAGACTAAATAATTTTAAATACTCACGATTTGGAGTCGTAGAATTCCCAAATGAAAACTGGCTACCGCCAAACATTTTAGAGGCTAATAAATATCTGAAAAAGAAAGGCACATAAGACACGTGAAAGCTGGAAATTTGGTGGAATTGCACACATAAGATACAATATTGGAAAAAATAAATCATTATTTCTCCCTCTTGCCAAGTTCTTATACACTTTTAGAAAAGAATTGCCAGTTTGTGATCAAAGATCATAATTTTTAATGAGTTCTGTTAGAATAAAAAAAGATCTTGGTGGATTTCCATAACTTAATGAATATGTTGTTTCCTTGCTAAAAACATTTTAGTTTGTGTATCGTATGGGCAGTGTTTTGGATATTTAATCGGCAGTTCATTGGATTAACAGATGTTGAACGTTGTTTTTTCTCTCCTAGCAAACTGATGTATAATTGATAAATTCTACGTCACAGTAGTCAAGTATCTTTAGGGAAAGGGAAAGATTTTTGTACCAGTACTTTGGCTCTATACTCCACGATGAATACCAAACAAGAGTCAGCGCTGTCAACTACTAAGTAATAAAATTTCACATAAAGAAGGGTCAAAGAGACAACCTGTTTTACAGTAGCAACATATATATGTTAGTAACGATAACATGTTTACTCCTTACCTGTTCGAAAATCACATTTTTGCCTTAGTATCCCAGTGTTTCTTACTATGTAGTGCACCTCTATAATCCATATTTACTTTATTTCACGAAAGGCAACATAAATACATGTATACTTGTTTTATACTTGCAAAAGAAACATAGTGCACAGTATATACTTTTAACTTCGTCTTGCATTTTTGTCCTTTAAAATAACTTTTACCAATGATAACTTTTACCAAGGATAATTTCAACTTTCTAGTATTAGATACGAATCATTTCTTCTATTATGAAGCATTAATAGACAGTAGCGCTTTCCAAACTCACGTGACATTTTTGTTATTTTCGGGAGTTTATGTCTATACTTTGTTTTGAAAAAAATTGACAGTAATAAACTCGTTTACATTGGCACCCGATTTTTTCAAAATTTGTACACTTTGTAGCATTGTAGGGTGATATAATGTAATAGGGCCTCGGCTCTATTTCGTTTGCTAAAGAGTAATGTATAACGATGTTTATACATGTGTCAACTAATTCTTTTCTGGTCTTTTAAACATTCGTTCCACTTGACTTTGAGTAGCTTTTTCTTTTCATGTCATGTCAGTGTATATGTTCTTTCTCTAAATTTGTATTTTTTATATTTTCATTACTGAGTTATCGATTGGAAGCTATTTCCGCTAATTACTAAATAACCCACGTCCTCTATTATATTTTATTCATTCATTTGGCTTTCATCTGAGATGAGAATTTTAAATAGCAATTAAAGAATTAACTCTTCTTAATAGCATAAAACGCCTGTTGATAACTTAGATTAATTGTAATTGTTGATTTTTTGGTTTCATGGAGCAAGACGTGTGATTATATCTGCAAGAGCTTTACACATAAACAGAGCTAGACTGTTCATCATGGAAAATAGATAGCGATATCCAAAAAACGAAAGAAACGGAAAACATGTCTGATCATTCAGCAAAGCCGTTAAGCTTAACTTTTTGCCCCCTAAAAATTTTTCTGATTCAATGGATGAGAGTACAGATAGTTTGAAATTTGATCCATAGTTAGCTCTTCTAAGTTTGACTGTTATTATTCCTGTATTTTTTAGATATCATTCAACAAAATGAATTTATCGTATAATTTATTTATCAAGTGGTATGTTAACACTATTCGTTTTATTGCTTAGTGAAACTGATGAAATACGTGGATTTGTTTTAGTACTGTTTTTATTCGAACATGGCATTCACAAGTTGCATCTATTCATTATTTATTAAAAGCAAATACAGTTAAACAACCGAATGATGTTGTACATTGTGTGCTTCAAAATGTTGTGTACAAAGATGAACAAGTTGTCGTATTCAATAAACCACCCGGTCTAATGACTTTAGGTAAATCGTATTGCATGTTACATTTATGCAGATGTTTCTATCATAATCAAAATTTTAGATGAAACACGTCGATTTGCAGATGAAGATGAAGAAATCGACAAATCAAATAGATGGTCTACACAAACAGATCCGGCCACAATTCAATATCATATGCCCGCATTCCGTTCAGCATTACAATGGGAAAATTTTTATCCTTGTATAAGAACACCAAAGTATGTATTTGTCATTAAATAATCAGTGCCTTTTGTTTATATTATATATCTATGTTTCTTGTAGTGATCCGAGTGGTTTATTAATTTATACGAATAACAAAGCGTTACAAGATAAAATCAAAGGGACAGCAATGCGTTCTTTTCGAAAAGAAAATACACCCTATTTACGTTTATAGTAGGTAGAAATAGTTTTTATTGTGACACTTTATTTCTGTTTTTTATCTTTTTCTTAATATGATAGAGATAATATACTATTTATTATTTGCAGTGGTATTACAACAGTTATTCCAAGAAAATTAGAAGATTCACACAAAATATTTGTTGAACGTGTTCTAAAAAATGGTCAGTATTTGGTATGTACTTCTGTATAATCGTGCCAATTTCCTTTCTTTGCTTGTTAAAAGTTTTGATCAGACATCTAGATGGTTTTGCCTTTATTGAATAATCTCAAGTTCGCCACTGAAACCACAAGATCACTTTTAATACGGATGAAAATTGAAGACTAGGGAGAGAGAGACTAGACAGCATATTGTAAGGATTTTTCTTCAAGCATCTATTACTTTTTATTCCAGTCTTACGAGACATATGAATCAAGTAAAAATGCTTTACGACGAGGAGATGTTTATAGTTCTTATATTGAACACAAGACATTATCAACAAATGACGAATTAAAAGTGGCATTGGTTGAATTTCGTACAACGAGTTGTAAGAGTATAGAAATCGATGCGATCAAATGGACTATTAGTTTGCTTATTGTAGGTACACGAGATTTTATTGAAATTTATTGTTTAAGACAATGTGCACCCTTACTAGGTGATCATAAGTATTGGAATCGCGTTAAATATGTTATGGGTACGCCAATGTACATTAACCCAATTCAATATAAAATATTGCCTGCTAAACAGGTATTCTTATACAAATAGGCAGCAAGTCAGTATATCTAATCTTTGTCGTTTTTTATTTCACTTACAGGAATTATCAAAATATGTTCGTATTGCTCTAGAGTTGTATGGTGCATCATTTTATCCACCGTTACATCTACATCTAGCCGATTTTAATTTACCAAAAAAATTTCGTGGACAAAAAGCAGTTGTTCACTATAAAGCAAAACCGTTACCGTATTTTTATGAAACATTGGAACGTTTAAAACTTCAATTTCCAGTGGATTCAGATATATATGACGAAAGGACTACTCTGTGAAAAAGTGACAATGAGATTAAGAATACTCTACAAGTTTATGTTTGATATTTGTACGTTGTTCTCCTATTTTTATGTAATTAATTATGAGTAAACAAGTGCCAAACATATGTACTTTTGTCTTTTGATATTCGTCCAACTGTAGGGCAACAGTTGTTATTATTTCAGAAGTATATTTGAGGGATATAGCACAAATATCCTGGAAAGGGATGAAGCAACCATGTTTTCCACTATTACTCTTACTATTCATCCTAGCTCTATCATGCACATTCTTTTCTTGCATAGTTATTTCACATATCTCTTCTATTTTAACTTATAGATGGGCCATGGTATGAGTCAGATACTTCCGGATGTGTATGTCAGTAGTGCATTCGTTGCTCATCAACAAAAAGTGATTGATGACTTTGGCATTACACACATTTTATCCATTCAGACAAACCCATCAAAAAAATTTCCGGTAAATTTTATCTCTTATTTTTCTTTTATTACTATTTGTAATGAATGATATTTTTCTATTTAGAATATTGAATATCTGCTTATAACGGCCAAAGATAATATTCAACAAGATCTCTTACAGCATATATCTCAATGCAACGATTTTATTCATAATGCACGTTTGAACAACGGACGAGTTTTAATTCACTGGTATTGTACTTTTTTCTCAAAAATATGTTTTAGCTTATAGCGTTCTTTTTTCTGTTTAGTGTTGAAGGGAAGTCGAGATCACCAACAATCGCTATTGCATATTTAACAACAGTAACTGGTTTCTCATGGATTGATTCTATGAACAGTATTCGTGGTGTACGCCAATTAGTTGAACCAAATTTTAGTTTTCAACGACAATTGAAAAGATTTGATGAAGAACTTGGAAATACGGTATATAGTAGAGCTCTGTTGTTATATTAAACATTATTTAAAATCTATATTTGTATTGATTCTCACATAATCTTTCGCTTTAGACAAATGATAAAGATTTTTAATTTTCCCAATCTGATTCCGAATCAGAGATCAAAAATGAAAAATTGACGAGTGCAAATATTAGTTCTAGAGAAAATCACTGTTGGAGTTTGAATCAAAGTCTAATTCAGAGAGGCGTCAGCTCATAATAATTGTAAGTCTCAAAAAACATTGTACTCGCAGAGCTGAATATGCGAGCTGTTTTAGAACCATATAATGAACCAAAACAATATTCTGTATCAAAGTCTGATGTAATGTGTTCGGATTTTTAGGAACGTGTTCGATTATTTTCTAAATTTGGTGATTATATTTCTACAGACAATGATAGAAGATTTCTATTAAACAATCTTGAATTATACAAAGAAGATCAAAAACGACGATTTAATCGAGAAATTGATATGAAATTAATGTATTTGATTGAAAATCCAAAATCCGATGGCAATATGTGTTCTAATGAAACGAAAGACTATTCAGACAAGCATCAATCTCTCGAAAATGAACAGACTACCATTGACTACATGTTTCAGACTAACTCCGTTTCTCAGGAAGATTTAATCTGTTCTGAAAAATTGCTTGATGAGATGTTCGCTTGAATCCCACTTTTTGCATATAAATTTTTATTTATTAATTTTAATAATAAATTATTAATATGACTTATTATATTTTTAATAAAAAATCCTTATACATGTCTCTTATCTGATGACATATTGGCTTAACTGCACATGGAAAGTTCAAACAATAGAATGTGATTTGATATAACTAAAGACTTTCGGATTGATATATTTTTACCATTGAATATAGCGAAATTTTTATATACAGAGTCTATTCCATCATTTTTATGGCATCAAACGTATTATTCTCTTCAAATAAAACGGTTAATCATAGGATACCAGCGAATAAACTTTTTCAAACTATATTTCGAACCTCAACAAATTACAAATCGATTGTTTCCTTGTCTTGTTTAAAGTCGATATGATGAAGATAAATAAATCTTTCTTATGATGCATCTGGTTTATTGATTATTTAAAAAAATATGTTGTTGTTAACAGATACTAGAAGATAAGAATTATGTGTCATTTTCGCATACGAAAGCATACGCTGATTTTTTATCGAACAATGTATGCTGTACAATGATAAATGTCGGTGTAATTTTGTTGGGCAAAAGATAAACAAGTAAACCTCTCCTCCCCTATTAGAAGACCACTGCCGATTATATGACTTGAAAGTCAAATAGAAGACAATGGTCTTCTAAGCCCTAGAAGACCACTGATCTTCTATTATGTCCCGATTCCAAAAACGTTTTACTTGTCTATGTTCAATCGACATTTAAGTAAAATAAAATTGATATTAATTGATATTTTTCGAAATAATTAAGTCGAATTATATAAGTAATTATATTCTACGATCAATTTTCTCTTTCTTTACCACTTCTGACTTCTTTAACTTTCAACTTCATCAAAATAATTACAAAATTATTTCAGTACAAAGTCGACATTTGCAATGTTTTTCTTTCTTTCATTCTCACTGTCTACGATAACATAAGTGTTTGTGCTGATTAACACATATTTCTTCTAATGTTCGTAAATATTGTCGAACAATTGAAGATTGTAGTTAAGATATTTTTCTTTTTATTTCATGTCCAACTGTTTATGTCTGATGCAATGTGTACATATAGTATCACTAATAATAATCCAATGGCAAAATTCTTCTCAACTACTAAATAATCAATCCATTAATCAAAATTTGTATGTAACGGGATAAAGGATGGCCTAGAAGTCCTGACCCGATTTGAATAATAAATTTTTCTATAGTGAAACAAGTGATAGTAAATTTGTCTCTATGAAGAAAAGATGCAGTAAAAAACGCTCTACATGATGACTATTGATTGACCCCGTTAGCTCATCTAGTAAGAATGTTATAAGCTTAGAAATGTGCTTCACAAAAAAGAAAAATCAACCGTGAATCCGGTCTCGGTATTTTTGCTTTAACTTCTGTTCCTTAGGTCCCCTAGAATAAGTTCTTTTTTTAATAGAAACGTCATCAAATTTTCTACAAAATCCGTATCTAAACATTAATTTCAGAACTTCAATCAAGAAAACTAAGCAAATTATACACGAGGCGAAAAAAATAAAAACTTTGTAAATTTGGTTTGTTTTACTTAACCTACTTCTTCTCCTATTATTTCTGTAAAAAAAGCGGAGCAAAAGCGACAACACAATTTGTGTTGGGTACCTTCAAATGTGCTCTTTCTTGTGGTTTGTAAAAAGACTTTTTAGAGCAGATGGTGTGCTCGAGAATCAAGTTTCAAAAATATATCAAAAATCGACAACCCTGTTTCCAACAGTGTATTCAACAAGAAACGGAAAACGTGGTCGAAGTTTTGATGTTGCAACTAGGTAGAGAAGAACAATCATTTCTGATCAAAGCAAAACAAATCCGATCGAAAAACGTTTTGTTTTGATGAAGTTATGAGACTTTAACTGGAAGCACCACTATACGGACCGGGTTCACGGTTGATTTTTCTTTTTTGTGAAGCACAATTCTAAGATTATATTGAGCTAATAGGGTCAATCAATAGTCATCTTGTAGAGCGTTTTTTACTGCATCATTTCTTCATAGAGACAAATTTATAACCACTTATTTCACTATAGAAAAATTTATTATTCAAATCGGGTCAGGACTTCTGGGCCACCCTTTATTTAGCAGTTTAATTTGATTAGTTAAACAGTGGGATAATTTTACCACCAGTGCAAAAATTTAACGCGATGAAATTGATCAAGTCAAGTTGTTTCAAAGCGTTAGATTTAAAAATTCAATAATCCTTTATGTTTTGCTTCTTTCCGTTTTATCCTTATCTTTCTTGCTCAACCAAGAGAATAAGTCTAAGTTATAAACGCGTAGGAACAAGTTCATCTGATCAATTTCACTACTTCATTGTAACATTTTTTGAAAAATCGTGCATGTGCAAGCCGATTAACGCAAGAACTTGAGGACAAGATGTTTCAAGATCTTACTATTTCTTGTTGAGAAACGTCAGAAAGAGAAAATTAGAAGTAATAAATCATTGGTTTTTTAACGATGATAGAAGATAAAAGACATACAATGTCACTTCTTATCTTTTGTTGGTAAAGTTTCTCAACTAAGAACATTCTTGAGACAAAAGCTTTCATTAGCCGCAGTTTCACTTGTGAGAACATTAAATAAATGAACCACAGGCAGAACCCCATACATCTCACAAATAGCTTGAGATTAATCATCAACTATATAAACTGTGTAATAAAGCGTGAAATAAAAAATCGTGGCGTAAACAACGTTCATAAAAATCGTGTAATAGAAAATTATGAGGAAAAAAGCGTGAATTTCAACTCGTAAAGAAAAAACGTAAGATAAAATATGGGAATGACAAAATCATGAAGCATATTCGTAGAAGTGGAAATTGCGAAAGAAAACTTATGGCAAAAAAACCGTGAACAGAATAATCCTAAGAAAAAACGTACAAATTGATAGAAAAAGATAAAAATGCAGAAAAGCATGAACATAAGACGTGAAAAAAAAGCATTGAAGAAAAACTGATAAAATTTGAAGAATATTGATCGGAAAAAACTAGTATAGAAAAGTGACATTGAAAATTCGTGAATCAAAAATATTAGAATTTCTATGGGTTTTTTTACCATGTAGTTAATTTTTCAAACATTTATTATTTGCACTTATATAAAAAAAACTGTAGTGTTGTTAATATAGATTAGTTTTCAATCTTGACGTTTACGTTCATGTAAATCAAGTAGAATAGCAATAGCCAAATACCCAAGTGAATATTTAATATCGTTGACTATTACATGATAAGTATCTGTTAATTTTGAAAATTGATTGGATACTTGAATTAATATTTGTCTATCATTATTATTAACATTATCAATTAAATTGTCCATCGGTACATCAATAATTGTTAATGCTCGATATTTTAAATCATTACTGGATACCGAATATTGTTTTGTTGATCCAATATTAATATGATAAATAACATTATTTGTTTGAACAAAATAATACTTAATTGTTGCAAATTTTTTATTATTTAAAGAAATTTGATAACATTGTTTTTCAGTCTTATCCCGTTCAATTATACAAAATTCATCTTTTTTATATATATTTGAAATTTTAATATTAAATGGTAATTTATTATTTGTTAATTTTGCTTTTACTTTATATTCATTTTTTCGTTGATCTTGAATTTCAAATTTTTTTACCGATGATGTGATGGAAAACTGACGACGAATTAGATATTTCATTTTGATAGAGTAAAGAAAAACCGTTTCGTTTAAAAAATTTTCATTATTATTATATTTATATCTTTACCTTCTTCGATTATTATCACGTTAACACTTATATATATATTTTCGTTTTTATTATTATTGTCAAAAAGTAAATATTATACGTATTTCTAATGTGCATTTGGATGTACTCTATATTTACATACTTTTTTTTCGTACTCTTTGTTAATCTAGAAACAACAAACATTTTTTTCCACCTAAAATATCTGTTAACAACACCATTGTTGAAAACAACTATCGCGCTGCTCAATAGTTTTAATTAGAAAGAGAGAGAAAGAGAGCTATTACTGTTAGTATTGAATACCCTCGAGAAGTTCTGAATTTTTCATATTAAACGAAAAAAACAAATTATCGACAAAAAAATTTTATGAAGCCAAAAGAACAAAAGATTGTGCCAAAAGGAATAACATTTTAGCTGTAAAGTGTGATAGTTTGAAACTTTTCATTTTAGATGAGAGAAACCGTCTATGTGCTGGGATAATAAAGCTTTCTTTCTAGACTAATAAAAACGTTTTATTCAAATTGATCCTTTAGCGCTTACAACAAACAATAACCAGTTCCATTTACTAGATCAGCCTCTGATATGTTACGATTTTCTACTAAAGAATGAGTTTTCCAAGCTCATATTGGAAAAATTATCGTAAAATAAATACATGTTTGAATTATTTGGCTTCATTTATCTTAAAAGAAGACAATGAAAAATGGCATAGATTGAAACATCTTATTTTAAGATAGATATAGCTAACATTGATTCGTTACTTTTTTGATGGTAAATGGTAAGGCACTAACAAAGCTACATCCCGAAGTGAGTTGTGTGAAATGTCGGCGATATATGTTACTTAGTAGAATACAGTGCGCTGATCACAAATATGATATTTTTATCTACCATCGTTATATGGTTGCTGAATAAGATCCACCAAAAAAAGTCCGATTTTAAATTGATCGTATACATCAGCAAAACTCGTGGTTTTGTAGAGAAAGTCTTAAACTACAACTTGACACAACGACCTGACTTATAGTATAAGAAAAAACACATTTATTCTATGTCTTTTTACTAACGAGGAAAGATTTCTAAATGATTTACTTGAATTCGACTGATATTTTGGGCATTGTTGGGGCTTACGTGGGTATGAAAAACGCTAAGAGAATTTGTATTTTTTGCTGTTTTTCTTTGGAGTTCTTCGCTGTAATCAGTTCAAATTCAGTCAAAATTAACTAACAAATATCTCGTGCGTTTGATAAGCTAAAGAACTAAAATTTTTAGACAATGTATTATTAAACTAGTATTAATCATACTCAGCCGTTTCAGGATTATATACCAGTTGAGTCGAGAGTAATAAGTTTTTTAAATTTAAGGCAAGAGTGCCATATTTTCTTCAGAGGCTGAAATAAATAAAATGTTTATATGTTTTGTGTAGAGAATTGAATGAGGAACCTTTTAAAAAAAAGATTGAGACTTGGCGATCACCTTTCACCAAGATATTGACAAAATACGGAAAGGGACATTATTTCTGGCGCACCCGTTAGTTTTTTGTGAATAGTAGTTTTTAATTTGTTAGTGAAAATCTCGGTTTTTTTCAATGGATAAATTCAAAAAAAATCGAAGTTGTCAAATAGAACGGTGAGGAATTTTATTAGACTCATTTTTCGATGATGATTCCGAATATCACATTAGTTTTGGGAGAAAATTGAAATTTGATGGTTAAAATCTCTAAATATGATTGTATTTCCGTATGTTTCGTCATTGATTTAGAAAAAACGAGTTTTCTTGACAACGGAACAAAATAAATAAAGTTATGCATACTATTATAAAGCTCGTTTAATAGCGGTTCTAATAAAGTACAAAAATCGGCTTCATCTTTTCGCAACAAAAACTAGGTAGGTTTGTAAAATTATTTATGAACTTTTTACAGGGAGAGTCCAAGACGTCCATAACAGGGCTCGAAACAGGCCGACAATTTTGAGGCCTGGTCTGCCTGCGTCAGGTCTGTAATGTTTAGATCTGCCTGGACCTTGCCTGCCTGCCTGCCATTGCTCTCGGCCTACCCTGGCCTAGTCTGTAGATGCCTGGTAATTTTTTTAATAAACAAAATGTACAAATAATAGTAACATAAGATGGAAAGAAAAGTGACAGATAACTAAACAATATATCTAAGTGAAAAAATTTGGTTTTTGTTCAAGTATTTTCTGAACTGATCTAACTAATAAGATATTCTCAACTGTGTCAGGGTTTAGTGATCTATTTCAGTCTAGTACATAGTTTCACACTGTGAAACTCCCATATCATAGCGACATCTACAGCCGAAATGCTACATTATGAATAAAAATATCCTAGGCTAGGCCGCCTGGTGTTTTCAAAGGTCTGCCTTAGCCTGGTGCAGACCGATAATTTGTAGCCTGGCCTGTCTGTAACAGGCAGCCAGGCTGCTTGGTCTGTTTCGAGCCCTGGTCCATAATGGATAGACCTTTGACTTCAATTTTGATCAAACACCATTCTCATACTCAGTTTTTAACGCGGAATCTGAAAAAAATACTGTCAAAAAGTTAGAAGGAAAAAGAAAAACATTTGAATTCTTTTGAAACTGAAGGAATCTTCGACATTTTAGACCCTATGAATCTAAATCTTTTTAAAAATTAAAATTTTCTTACTCAGTTCGATACGCTCTACCCAACCATGTATAAGTATCTTAAAAAGAAATTCTGCTAAAATTTTGCATCACTGGCACTTTAAGACTTGTTTATTTGTCAAAAGATCGATATGATACAGATCTGTATATGATTACTTGAGATGAACAGAGATCAATTAGCATTAAGTAATCGAATGTTTTGAAATCTTTCAGAGAAAATTAGACTTTAATGTGGTTGTGATTATGATATAATTAATGTGATTATGCATGCATATAAAATTCAAATTATTTTATACAAATAAACACTTTATTCATGAACCCCTACATTTCAACCAAGAGAATAACAAAATGTGTTAATTAATATTTTCATAGAACAAACAAAGTGATATGCACAAATCATACAATTAATTTTTCATAAAATTTTCATATACTTTACATATATGTATCAATAATTTTCCATCATTAGTAGATAATACATAAGTGAGAAAGTGAATTGACACTGGATGAGATGCGCACGCATACAACAATGACTTTTTTGACGGTTAAAATTGAACATAAAATGAAAACCTAACTTTTCCTCATCACAATTGGTATGCATGAAACTACACGACTATGTTCGGATATTTGCTATCAAATTTAACATTGATACGCTAGTTTATTATGTTTATTTATCGTTAATGACTAAATTTTTTAAAAGCAAAAGAAATAACGAATCCGTTTTCAAACAATAACAAATAGATGCAGCGATTTATGATAAGGCCATGTGACCCTCAAATATTAAAACAACTTTCCTTTTCTTCTGGTTGAATAATTTAGAAAATAACAGAAAAAAAAAGAAAATGGCACCCTTCAAAATAAAACGTGCAAAATGACAGTTAAAAGAGCAAAACTCTGTACACCAATACACGCTATAATAATTTTAAGCCTGATAACGACTACGGACATTTTCGTTTCGTCACCATTAATAAATGATAGAATAAAAGTTAAAAGATGAGAAAATAATAACAACAGGAAAACGAAAAAAGTAACAATTTGAGAAATGTAATTAAGATATCTATTTTCAAAAATATGCATACACACAAAATTCATATCATCACCATTAAATCGAGCGATATGACTTTCGGTTTTAGTTATATAATTGATTTATTCATCCGTCTTAATAACGATCCTAAAAAAAGTAAAAATTACAGAGAATCTAAATAAAAAGAGTGGATCATAACACTGGTCATATACAGTTCACCCAGCTGCTTTCGTGTATAAGAAGAATGTCATATTCAGCACATATTTCTTCAAAAAAACAAAAAAGATGACCTTTTTTATTAGAAAATCCTAACTTGTTGTCATCTATCTTTGCACTTCATTTTAGTTTCCATTGTACAAGGTCATTAGATAAATGATAACAACATTAAACAAGCAAAACTTAACATTAAACCAGACAGAAAAAAAGAAACAAAATGTGAGCACATAGTAGAAATAAGAGACCATATGGAACAATGTAGTGTGATCAAAAACCTCTACCCTGTTATTTGTATGTGCATGCATTCATCTGTTCTTACCATAACAAGAGAGGAAAAAGTGAACAAACTTCATTTTTTCTGAAATATTAAAACAAAAAGATTAAGATGATACTTAACGCGGTGGAAAAACAATTTTCACACTAACTCGGAATGATACTTTTTGGATAAAAAAAGACTCGTACACTTACTTGAATTGTGGACATAACATTGCTAGCCATTGTTGATAATCTTCCGGCTACTTTTGAAACTCCATCTTTAAAATCGGCTTTCATTGTAGCTAGATCCGGTCCTTGATAATTACCATTACCACCACCACGTTGCTGGCTCTTGCTCTGTGGATCACCGAAATAATCAGCTGATGATATACTTTTACTTTCGCCAAAACGAGAAATGATGTTGCTTCTATCATTCTAAATGAACGAGAAAATATGAACTCGATCTCTCAATTTTTTTTGTGACCTAAAAACACTCTGTTCAATGATGAATTTAGGAGGGAGTGCAGTGATGTAGCTGTATCCAAAAAGAAACGAAGACTTCTATTTTCATCAACAAAAGAAATTAATCCCAATGTTTTTTGCAATTAAAACCAAAATAAAATAATGTTCAAAACGATATAGAGAAATAATATATGAATATATAATTGTTTTAATAATACTCATCTATTAACTACATACATCATTATCTTTATTGAAGTATTGATCACTGGAAATAGCTTTTGCATTTGTAAAACGTTTTTGAGCATCATTACCAACCGGTGATGATGGTGTTGGCGTTCTATCATTTGATCGGGGTACGTCTCTGAAAACAAACGAGAATAATATAATGTTAAGAATAGAACTGAGCTCACAATTACATACCTAAATCCACTAATAGTGTCGCTAGCATAAGTTCGCAAGTCCATATCTTTTGTTTGTACTTTTTGATCAATCACTTCCCAATCCGAACCAAATGTATCGTTTTTAGATGGTTTTGGTTTGAACAAATCATCGTCCAATCTAAAAAAACATATGATTAAAGATAAACCTGCGAATGAAGAAGCAATCACAAATAACTACTTTTCAACTTTTTTTAACACAAAAATGAGTTACGTTGATAAAAATATCTATGGTGTACCTTAAAAATTTGGGATAACAAGATACAGTTTGATTAGATCATGAGCGAGCAAGTCATCAAAATACAAATAGTAATAGATCCATACTCAAAGATTATGAATTATTCAAAAATAATTGATACGGATGCTAATAATATACCTGTTAGAAAGTAAGATTTTCTTCAATTAACATGATCTGATATTAAGTGAGAATTAATTAGAAACCCATAACCAAATTATTATCTATTTCCTCTCCCTTTTTCTCAGTGCAAGAATACAAAATTTCTGCCCTATTTTGTCTACTTTTTATGATCATCGTCAAGATCATGATTTTTTGACAATGGCGAATCGAAACTAAACAAAAGATATTTACAAACAAAAATAAGGAATTCACCATAAAAAAAATAGTATTATTAAGAAAAATGTATTTTATACTCGACAGTAATATAAAACGAATTCTTACTTTGATCGGCTAGAAAATGATGGTACATCAAATTCGTCAAAGAAATCACGATTACGTGGTGCTAATGAAACATTTCGCGTTGTTGTCACGCCTTCTTGTTGTATCGTTTGCATATCAGTCATTGCACTATGACTTACACCACTAGAACAAAATCATCTTCTTACTAATACTCCAAATATAGCAAAAAAGCGATCTTACCTTCGGCTAGAAAATCCCATGCCTAATCGTTCAAGTTGTTCAGCTTTTTTCGGATTTGATTGTTTTAATTTAGCTTCCTCTACTTCTCGTTGTTTATTAATATCTTGATAAGCAAATTTCAAACTGGCCCTTTAATTAATAAATAAAGCATCTTACGTTAGAAACAAGTTTACATATTCTTGACTAACATTTGTTTCTCTATTTGTTTTTCGTTTTCTTCACGACTTTTTATTTCTTGGTGTGTTTGTATTTCTTTCATTTTTTCTTGTTCTTGTACATTACGTTCAATTTCTTTGAAATCCGTTACTACCTTTTGTGCACCAAAACCTTTCTATTAAAGGAAAAAGAAACTTTAATTTTGTTCTAAACGATATTAATTTTGTTCTGTACCTTTTTCGATGGCGCCGGTCGTCTTTGTCCAATTGTTGACTTTTTAGGATCCAACGTTTTTTGAGTACCGTCCGCGCTGAAAACATTCGGATCAATCGACGGACCTTCCCCAAATTGATCAGCTTCAACAAGATAATTTAGTTGATACACTCGATAATTTTAACAAAAAAGTGAAATACTAACATTGATCTATATTTGGATCACTTGATTCCAAAGATAACGAATAGTTCTCAGCGTTATTTTCAATCCTATTGCCAGTTGTTCCTAGTGATTGTGAGTGTTCATGAAAGAAGTCACCTTCTTTTTTATCAGTTGAAGAATGCGTTTGATCAGATTTTGGAGCATCATCAATGATCAACTAAAAAAAACAAAAAAAAACAGAACATAACAATAAGCAACACGAATGTGTTCATGAATATAGACATACTTTTGTTCCATGCATTTTCATTGCTTTTGTCGATAATTGATGCAGTTTTTCTCGATAAAGCTGTGATGCACGGCTGTTATATTTTTGTTGAATATCTTTACTATGGCAACCATGTTGTTGGAAAAACATTTCCTGAAACATGACGTACGAGTAGACTCTTGTTTTTGATACTAAAATCTTTAAAAAACAAAGCTTTTGCAATAAAGAATAGGAAAACTTACGGCATTTGCATTACCACCAACTTGCATCGCACGCAACTGTAACCAGGTCCAGTTTGTATCTAAATTTGTTGACCGAATAAATGATAAATGAACGCCCAGTCCACGATGACCGGCAGAACAATCAATACATAAAAATACACCATATGTAACACTAGCCCAAGTTGGATTTTTAGCTCCGCAATCAAAACATATCTATTATGACAAAAAGGTATACTTGAATAAAAACTCGCACTACTGACGTGATAAGAAGAATCTAACCTTATTTGCTGGTATAGTTTTTAATCGTTTGAAAATAGTGTCAATATCTGCTTTGGTTGGTTCTTCGATGCTCATTTTTTGCTGTTGTTTAATGCTATAAAAATTTCACGAGAAAATCGCTCTTGGGAAAGGCCGTCTTTTGGTCTAAAATTTATTGAAAAGTGAATCAACAAAAATGAAATCTCTACAAAGCAAGACTGATACATTTCTTGTCTACTTTTGGCCTAACTAGAAAACAAAAGCAAAGCGTAGAAAGTCTTGTTATAGGCAATCTGAGTTATGCCTGAGCCACTTTAGCTTCTGGTAAAATATGGATTCTGGATAACAAAAGAAATTAAGGTCAAGTTGGAAGTTTCAGACTACTGAACTGTCTAAATCTGAGGCATTAGGAGAAGTGAGAGCGAGGGTGCGAAAAAAGCATGATCCACAATATTTTACATCGGCAGATTTTGTCTACGATATCCCATCACATTGTGAGCAAAATCTCAGTGAAACTCAAACAATCGTGTGACAAAGTTTTCGATACTCTATGATATTCTGGGATACAGTGAGACAAAGTGAAAGCGCCACTGAGATTTTGCTCACAATGTGATAGTCATAGGATATCGCAGAAAAAAATCTGCCGATGTAGGATATTGTGGATCGTGCATTATTGTGCTCTTTCGCTTTTCATCGTAATTATTTTTTTGCAATGCAGAAGCACATACTACAATTACTGCGAAAAAATGTTGTGGTGGAAAACGCCAGTGCAACTGAAGACCGCTCAAAAATTATAATCGTAGTCGCATACAGCATGTGTAAAACGTCAAATATTTATTCATTGGTTGCGAATTTAAGAGAGTGCTCTGATGGAAGTTGTCGCTTTATTCGCTCATACGAGTTTGAATAAGTGAAAACGGTTCAGTATATGATTTAAGCTAGAGAGAAAACACCGTATAGAAGATGTTCCATTAGGCCTTGTCGCGACTACAAGTTTTTTAGTTGTTTCCCGCTAGCCGTCAAAGATAGCCGTCAGGAGCCACTTTCTACATGAAAAGACGTAGAAAGTGACTCCTGAGGGCTATCTTTGACGGCTACCGAGAAACAACCGAGTTTTTTACAGTTAACTTTGAGTTAACTTTAAGAACGTCCAAACTATCAAATTAACTGTCCAATCTAATTTTGGCCACAGTCTCTATAATGCAGATAACGTAGTTGAAATGAAACCCTTGCGCAGAAGGTAATAATTGGAATATGCATATCGTAAGGGCAAAACTATGGTTATTTTTAACAGCCGCCGCTATGTATGGCTAAACGTGTTTTTGTCTAAACGCTTCGGTCTATGGTAAAAAATACATACTTGGTTCGTTTTTGGGCGTTTTAGAAAAGAAAAAACATTTTATATCCGTCCTCGGTCTTACGCGTTAAACGCAACAATCGAATGGCTCTTTTAGTAGTCAGCACTAACCGAGCAATTACTTCAGAACAAATCAAATACTTGCATCAGCGTTTCATATACTATTGATAAAATCATATGCTATGCTGCAGCTTTTGCCAATTTGTATGGATTAATAACAATTATTTAAACAGTTAATAGAATAATATAAGCAAACAAAAAAAAGTTCAAGAAAACAATTTTTCTAAACATAATCTCAATCAAAGCAGAAGATTCTGCTGAAAATGAGCTGAAAGAACTTCCTCTTGAGAAAGAGATTGTTGTTGCATATTTGTCGTTGTATTACACAAAGGTTTTTTCATAACCTGACTCGGCAGCATCCCATCTTTCTCTACGTTGTCGTTTATATTTCTTGCTTGATTAATCTGATTTAATTAGTTAGTCGAGTAAATTCTGGTTTAAAATACAACGATTTATGTAAATATTGTTTAAGAGCACCGAGAACAAAATTTTATCTTTTTGGTTCATTTTTAATCTTAAATGGAAAGGTCACTGACTTAAAGTACTTGAAAAACAAGTGTCCGTGCAAGAACAGCTATTTGTGAAATGGAACATCGCTAAATGATACCGTGCACCGTCAGCAGTAGAGAATTACCGGTACTTCGGTACTGTTTTCGTGAAGTACCGAAAATTTCGGTTCGGTACCAGCGGAAGTACCGAAAAGTTCGATACCTACGAAAAAAAATTAAGGGACGAGGGTCTTCGTGATTTAACGAGGAAAAAGCTTCTTGTGAGTTTAAAAATAGGTTTACATAATGGAAAAAAGTTCGGTACTTTTGGTCAGGGGTGTAACCCGGTATTAAAAATGCGATACCGGTACCGGTCACCGGTATACAAACTTCGTACCGGTACCGTCTGGTATACCAATGACCGGTTTACCGGTCATTAATCATATCTTGCCAAAATCAAAATACTTTCTCCTTGTTTTTCTTTACTGTCAGCTGTATTTTATGCTATCAAAAGGATAGATTGATCTTTTCACTTTGATTATGTATAGCTGATTTTTCACACGCTTTTTTTACGAAAACAGCAATCCAATCCATTCTTTTAAATTAAGAAGTTTATATAAATCGATAAAGTGTAAGTAATTGGAATGAAATTTTAGTGGAAGAAGTACGTCACAGATGAACTGAATTTACACGATGCTTTTCGAAAAAATCGTATCATACCGCAAAATACCACGAATATCGGCCGACTGATTATACTTCATACTAATGTCGGTATACCGGTCGACGTTATAATTCGTACCAGCACCTCTACTTTCGGTACCGATACCGAGTTGGTACCGAAAGCTTCTGTACTTTCGGTACGGTTCCAATGGTTGGTACCGGGACCACACAAGTACCGGTACCGCCAATTACCTAGTCAGGAACAGTGCAAAAAAGCATATATTGTATAGCGTTCCTTCGGACGTTTCATTACCAAGTACTAGTTCCTCTCAATTAGGCAAAATCACACCTTTTGAACGAAAATGCTAATAAAAACGGCAAGTAAATCACAGTTTTTTGAAGACTAACTTCAGTTATTCTTTATTTTGTTTTATTATTCAAGATCTTATTTTAACATCTTTCTGGGGAAAAAAGAGGTTTATTTTGATAAATGAGTAGCAATTGACTTAAAAATGTTTAAAAATTTATTTTCGTTTTTTAAACTTTCTTCTTGTAATTTTATTTGTTTTTCCAGTATAGTAATTCGACGATTTTTGCATCAGATTGAGCTGCAACATCTTTGGATGCTTTCATTTTTACTATCATGTCTTACATCATTTCCATTCTAAGTAAGAAGTGAGGAGAGGTCAATATTATATTTAAAATCCGTGTGAATCGCGGAAGTATGTACAAATCCCTAAAAATCACTTTCTCAACTCCCAACTATGCAGATGCCAAAAAATAATTGCAGATGATATTGAATGTGTCGTCAAAAAGGAAATAAAAGAAGGCTTTTAGTCATATATGTATGGTATAAATTTAGCGAGTGCGCTTAGTTATACTGAGTACGTTTTTCTGAATTTTAGATTGTTAAGAAAGTATGAAAATGCGGTGCGAAGTAAACAGCACTGTTCAACCATGAGACTGCCACGTCGCGCTGTCTTAAAACCGCAATATCTTCGATATTCTCTGAAATACAATAATTGAGCTTTTTTAAAGAAAAAGTCTGTTTGTTCGCATTGCGAACAAGACGCTTTACTATTCGTAGTGGTTCACGTGACAATCTTCGATGAAGTATCTTCTTAAGGAATTAGTCTTCATAAATCAACAGCTATGATCCACTAACGTTTGCACCACTAAAGGTGGAAATTATTGCGGACGTTGGTAACGACGCATGCCTGTTTCGGCCAGTAACCCGGAACACGAAAAGAAAGAAATTACAGAGTATTAAGGGGAAAATCTTAGAACAATTGTTGCAAACGAGCACTTATCTGATCTACTCTTAGACAAAAAATTTATTGAAATCATTAAGCAGCAAAATATCTTAAATAATAATAATAGGCTGGAGAATTAAAAAAATTCATAGTACCATTTGTGAAATCTTTCATTTATATCTAATAACTATATTAACTCGAATTTATCAGTTTCTGGTGTTCCGTAATTCGCAAGAATTACGTTTGTTCAATTTCTGATAAGAGACACAAGCTCTCGCTCATTAAAGAATCACTGTTAAAGGACGTTCACCTAAAACAACCATCGGACATGACGCTTTAAAAGTAATATCTCTGCAATTTTCTTTGTTTATATAATTTTTAACATTCACAGATCCTAGGTAGCCATAGGATCGTCTTTTCTCACGTTCAGGGTTATCGATTAGGGGGTGGCAAACCACCCCCTCGTTTAGATACAGTTACTCATTCAAAATTTTGACTTACTCAAATTTTTTAAGAAATTTAAGGTGAGAAACCACCATTTATGCATCTGAGTAAGTGACTTTCTCTCGCGTCTGAGTAACTCAGTTAGTCAGAAAAAACGTTTAGTCAAAAAATGCGTTACTCAATAAAAAAGCTTTAGTTACTCAGCAGGGTCGTCCAACAAAGCCCAAAAAAGACAACATCTTTCATTATTATCGCTCCTGTCATCGGTTCCTATGGCAACAACAAAAAATGTTTCCTTATTAGCAATTACCAGCTTACGCTGGAAAATAATTCGTTTTTTGATCCAACGTATCATGACCTTACCGCAGTAATTCTACTATATCCACTAATGTCTATCCCAGTGGACATTGGGTCTTAAAGAGCTAAATTTGTTTATATAAAAAAGGAAATCTGCGCTGAATATCTGATCGTCTGTCAGGTATTTCGAACAAAATCATTTGCCAACTATTGGTGAAATTGGTATTTTTCACAGAATATCTCGAGAACACTTTCTCTGGGTTGAGTCGACTCATCTTATGAGGATTTATTCACTCATCGTGCTGCACTTTTTAATCAAATTAATATATTTGATATCTTATGTGCATTATCAAAAACTCGTTCCTTGACACTAATCAACTCATCTGTCCACGTTTTCGTTTGATAAAAAAATGTAAATAAATCGACTATAAGATGACTCGTCAGATAGATGAGTCGACACGTCCTGTAAACTTTTCAATGGGGTATCAGAATCATCCACATCACCGAAAAAAAAATTAAGCTAGTTTTGAGTTTCTG